TATTTGTTTGCTAGGTAAGAGAATAGCAAGTTACAAACTTTATCTCAATAGAACATGTATTTCTATTACTATGAAATTCATAAATGAAGTAATTAATGGACGAATCTTGTATGTGTTCCTCAGAAAAGAAAGTCGTCCATTTTTTAAGACCGCTAGTACATTATGCTTTGGTTTTGAATGAATCACATGTTTTTTGGACATTTCATTATTCCGACTGTTGAACAAAATTGACATAGTCAACTTCATTTCCTTATTCATCGAAGGATATAAAATAATGCTCCCTTCATTTTGGAGTACTTGACACAGCACGATTATGACCAAAGAAAATGCAGAAAAGCAAGAGTATATGACAACAAATTAACAATTAATTAAGATTTAATTATTACATTGTTACTCCTATCGTCAATGCTTACAGAAACTAAATAACTTTATTTTAGGAAATTGTTATTAGCACTATTAAAATCTTATTTGGCATTTCAAACTTTCTATAATTAGAAGAAAAAAATACACTTATGAGGAGTGTAGAATGAGATTTTTAGAATGCTAATAACAGTTCTCTTATTTTATAATAAGATCCATAAAAGATTTTCTAAATTCCATAGAAGATTTGAGTGGTTGCAATTGGGTCGATGGGACCTGTTTGATGCATAAATAATGAGCTGGAAGCTTTTTCTAGCTTTGCGTACATGAAAATGTTAGTAGTGGTGGTGATGTCCACCATTGAGCAGCCTCAAAATAATTGATAATCAAGTAAATATGTTGTGTAGTACTATGATATAGTAATACTCATACTATTACATCTTAACACCAATACGCAAGATAGACAGATGGGAGTTAGGATTAGAGTTATCGAAAATGTAATTGAGATTGTTTCACAGGCAAGTTGGAGGCACATAATTATGTCAAAAATAAGATATCCGTACTACCCTTTATTAACGTTTATTTGATGAAATTGATGAAAATAGAGTGAACTGAGACTTGATGAAACAAAAATGACAGTTTAATTGGGCAAGTGAGACAAAACCAACTTTAAAGAATAACATGAGACTAAATGAAACTTTCAGGAGGCAAATCAATTATTGAGCCTGTTTAAAAGGTGTTTTTATGCATTTCCAAATTCCATTTGCAGTTCTACAGTAAAACTCAAACAGTCCACGTAAAAAAAATCCAACGCAGTCATCTCTGCTCGATTCATTCCATCTCTTGCATTTCTCTTTGGCCCCGTTTATTACAGCTCATTGTCTCTAACTCGACTAGATTTAGAGACAAAGATGAACTACCTTCACGTGAATTAAGCAGAATAAAATAATAAAGTATTTGATGCAATGAAGGACAAAATCGTTGGCTAAAATATTTTTGGAACCGAATTATTTTTGCCCTTTTTAAATTCAGTTTTTCCATTTTATAATCTCCTAAACTTCAATTTTTACTTGGCTATTGTAAAAAAACTTTTGAAATTATCTCCACCTTATATTATCGATTTAATTATTGAATTACTTCAATATGGAACAGAGTCTAACTTTTATTTTTTGAAAAACTTGTTACCACTTGTTGGAAAGTTTGGAATCAACAGAATAAAATATAAAAAAAAATAGTTTTTTTATATGAATCTCCTAATCTATTCTATTCTATTAAGAGAAGAGGACTTGTCAACTTTTTGCCCCATTTTCTTCTTATTTTGGCCTCATTTTTTAATATACAATGTTGACATGAGGAGGGTAAAATAGTAATTTTGTATCTTTTTCCCTTTTTTTCTATTTTTGCCCTCACTTTTGATACATAATATTTACATAAGGAGGGCAAAATAGTAATTTTATATCGAATATTTACATAAGATAAAAATATGCCCTTATTAAGAGAAATTGTCCCACCATCATTTTTTCATATAGGTAAGTGAAATCATAATGTTTCTTGGATAGTTTGAATGAACTGAAACGGTTGCGCTTAAGGAGAACGTGGGAGGAGGTGGGCGGTTCACACACACAAAGTGTGTGCTCTCTGCTAGTTTGATTGAAGCCATCATTCATATTAAACAATTTTGAATATTTTTTAGCAAGACTAATTAAATCTTATGGATGGAGTCCTCAAAAAATTATTATGTTAATTTTGATGGATTGGTCTATTCCAATGGTGATACACCTATAGATTTGTAATTAGGCAATCCAATTGTTCGGAATGTAGGGATCTTGCATGGGCTTATAAGTAAATTGGGCTAATCTCTATATTGCTATTTGGTTTTATGGTTAAATCTCAACTTTCTTCATGGTATCAAAGGTTGTCCTATGTGTAAAGTCCAAAGGAGACCATGTCATCCGATTTGTATTATCCATGTGTTAGACTTGAAAATTCGCCACATATGAGTGAACGTGTTGAGAATGAACCCTACATTATAGGATGAGGGACCTTGAATGGTCTTATAAGTAAAATGTGCTACTTTGCATATTACCAATTGATTTTATAATGAAATCTCAACTTTCTTGAATTATTTCCTATAAATTATCATCATCACTCTCAATCTAACATATCTTTCGGGAAGGAAATATATATATGGTTCTTGATGGCTTAGCTTCCCTAGCACTTTTATATGATGTATTTGATTTTGGGTTAATGATTTTCCTTCTGTATTATGGTATAGGTTAAAATTTGACCTTTATGAAAATAGTAACGTAATTAGTTTTAGGTTAATGATACCTCGAGAATACTCGTAATTAGTTTCAATGTTAAAAAAATAGTAACGTAATTACATGATTATGTTCTAATATATGACGTACATCAAAACTTGAATAGTTGAATGTTTAATTAATGATCTACTAAATAAAAAGTCAACAGTTAAAAATTCTGATATACAATAAAAAATAAAGTAAAACAAAAACTTACGCATGATATGCATAGAAGCAATATTTCTCCTATTGAAAAAGGACGAGATGATATGTTTTAAGTAGAACTAACAAAAAGTCCCTAACAGAATAATTTTAATTGAAAAATACTTAAACAACTTTTCTTATTATTAAGTTCATTTTTGGTATTATAAAGATAAAAACCAAAAAGTAGTCGTACTTATCAATGTATAAAATATTGATGATATCGGAAATATCGGTAATCCAAAAACACGGAAAGTTCGATGGAAATATCTGGATATTATCGATATCGATAAAAATTGAATAAAAACCACGGAAATTGTAAGAAAAACTTGAAATTTTTTATTGAAACTTTGTAGGATGTTTATTTAGTCAATTATCTATTAGTTTATCACAAAAAAATTGGAAGGAAATGCATTGCATGATGGATTTAACTGATTTAAGTTGATTATATAGTGAGCTGGCAAACATTGTGAGTGTAGAAAATATGTAGTAATTAATAAAAGAAGTTTAAACACACCATAATCATTTATATATAATGAATTAGTACAATATTTTACACTCATACATTCCATGGTAAGATACATGAGTGACTTAGTACCACATAGAGTTCCTATCAAGGTCTAAAATATCGATGATATCGGAAATATCGGTACTAAAAAAAAATGGAAATATCGGGATAATATCGATATCGGGGTAAGATACATGTTGTCTCAAAGTTTTTGAATAAACAAAAAGTTTTGTGAGGGACTTTCCATTAATATTCTAATTTTTTTTTCAAAGTAATGTTAGGTAGACTAATTTGTTAAATAACATTTGCAAATCATGTAATGTATTACTAATAGTACATAAGTGCATTAATCAACACTTAAGTAATAATGCAATCATCAACAACCATATCATATGATTTACAAAATATGATTTCAATTAATAATCTTCCGACATAATTTTTTTTATGAAAATTATGTTAGATTGTATTATCACAATAATAGTAAATTTCCCCCTCCCTTAATATAGTAATTTTTATTTAAAAAAAAGGTTACGTTAGATTGTTTATCTATTATACACAAATGAAAATCATAATAAATGCAATATTAAGACCACTGTTCTAAAAATTTCGGTCTAGCACCGCTGGCTACTGCCCTGATTAACTCCTAGGTATTTGAAAATTAAGAAATGCCGCCTAGACCTGCTTTGCCCACGTAGCCTATCTAAGAGCCCGCCTAGCCCACCTAGACCCACCTAGACACCTACTTAGATCGTGACTCTCACTTAGATAGAGAATAGATTACTTTCATTTGCATTTTTTTTAATAAATTGTACTAGACTTGTTGAATATTTGGATGAACACTCATTATACTATGGTTCTCCATATTTTCAATATGTTCTAACACGTTCTAATTTGTATCTCATTCTATTTTTTATTTTATGTATTCTAATACAATTATGTATTTTTTTAAGAATAAACATACACTTATTTATAAAATATTAATAAGTTTACTTATATTCTCCTAGTCCGCCTAGAGTCCCGCGTAAGTCCTGCCCAGCCGCCTCAAACCTAGCGTCTTTTAGAACCTTGACTAAGACTAAATCAAATTGGATGTTTTGCTATCACAATCATGGATGCATAATTGTCCATTACTTAAATTAAGGGTTTCCCATTGGTCAAAGGTAGAACAAACTTATATCTGCACGTGTATTAAATAAAGGGGCCTTTATGTATAGTATATTGGCGGCTTGGCCCACATATCACCAACTTCATCTGCAGATTACCATCCCAAAAAAAGTATTAAAACCCTCAAAGAGATCGAAGAGACAATAATGGAGGAGCACAATTAAAATTGCTTATATATATAATGGTCAAACATATTGGTTTGACCACATTCCAATTTTGTACATTATAAATGCATACAATCGTCACAGCCGACGGTTCAAGACAAGCAGCATTGAAATTCTTTGCTTCTTCTTTCTTCATCTTCCGTTCCCCAATAGCTGCACTTCCAGATCGTTGCCGTTCTTTACTTATTTCCAATCTATATATAGTGCTTCTAATATTTTCATCACACACAATAACCAAATCCGAAGAATAATCTCACACTTTTAAGTCCTCAAGAACCCTAGAAGTTCAAAGTTTCACTCTCAATGGAATCTTACGCCTCTTCCTCTTCAGCCTCCACCACCACATACTTGTCCCAAACCATACAACCAACAAAGGGTTCAATTTCAACCTCAAAGCAGCTTCCCAATCACCAGTCATCACTCCACTCGGTTCGAAAATCTTCGTCGAAGCCATGGAAGAAACCTGCTGTTGCACCACTTCCACCAACCCTACCAAGAATCTACAAAGTTGACCCCATTAACTTCAGGGAGCTTGTCCAGATCCTAACCAGCGCGCCAGAGTTTATGGAGACTCGGTCTCTCCAGAGCGTAGCTCCTCCACCGATCGATATCCCTGTGTCTTCTGTACCAAACCATGTCCCTTCTTCTTCACAAAAAATTAGCTCACCATTTTCGGTTATGTACAAGGAATTGTCGGATACATTGGAGCTGAGTCCGATGCCTCGCCAACAGAACGTGCATGATAGCACGGTGGACTCGAGTTACCTGAGACTGAATTTGCAGTCCCCGTCTTCCCATCATTGGTTTTCTTTCCCTATGCTCAGCCCAGGGACTTTGTCCAGTATCGAACGACCCGAAGTTCTTTAGGACTACTTCAATCACAAAGCTATATTTATGTGAGCCCAATTTCTTAAAATTGTGGCCTTTTTTTTTTATAACTTTTAAATCCTAATTTTGTTTTAAATTTTAGCATTCTAGCTTATTAAGAACACAGCTATAGGTTGTATGTAATAATGTAAGCAGCAATGCATAGAATCATGTACACAAGTTTGACTGCAATGCTAGCTAGCTAGCTAGTTCAGAAGTCTTTTAATGTGAACGTAAAGTTATGAATCAATGGAATAATGCCAGATAAAGTGATATCTTAATAACTCTAAATATTACAATATTGGCTGATCGGGTCCTCACCGAATTTTACTACTGCAGATTGATAATAACAATGGCCGGAGATTTACCATCAAAATCAGGTGGCTGAAAACGAGAATGAGGTCGGTATAATTATGTACAAAACTTGGTCGTATCACCCTCGACTGGCATTTTTGCGATGAGGATTAGAAAGTTTTAGAGAGAGGGCGACCTAATAATGGGTCTAAGCACCGATACTATCATAACTTAACCAAGTACAAGCTCAACATATGTGAAGTTAAGGTCTGGATGCTTATTTGGAAATTGAATGTGATATTTCACCCTAACTTTGTCTCTTACCATGATAAAATGGGGGAGAAAAATTTTAGGTGTGTTCATACATTGCAAGCTTTTTACCCATGATAGATTTCACTTGTTCTTGTCAAGATTTGTTGTTTTGCAGGATCCGTTCCTTCGTTCATCTCTTGAGTATGGGTAAGTAAAATTAGTTTTAGGCTTGGGGTATTTTGTCAAGGAAAGCCAAAGGGGGAGATTGTGAACTCTAGAATTTTAGTTTTGGTTTTCCTTGTCAATAATGTAATATGTACCACACATGCTCAGGTTAGTATTAGGACATACTTTGCACTAAGGGCCGCCATTGTTGGAAATATTCACTCAAGGGTTTGACTTCTCACATCAATGGTTTATTCATGCATATGCATTCCATGCTTATATTTCCAATTCATTCTGTCTAGTAGTTCTGTCTTGTCAAAACTTCTCGTTGCTTTCCAGTTTGCTCGGCGGGCACACACTTTAAGATAACTCACATGGGTTGATTGACATCTTTTTCTGAGTGTGGTTTTCTAACCCTTGATATGAAACAATTGCTTTGGCTTTGACACGTGTCTCCTTACTCCCTTTATTTGAAATATACATGCCTCTCTTTAAAAGGGCAGCTAGGGCTCATTTGGTTTTTGGGGGGCTAAGATTGGAAAGTTTTTTAGAGCTTTATTTTTCATCTTCATCTCAGATCTCTTAGGAGCATCAAGCATATTTTATGGTTAATGTTCTTCATCGAATATTTCTAAATCTATCTTTGAAATTGCTTGCTTAAATTTGTTTTATATGCTCATTTGTTTTGGCTAGGAGTTTTACATTTTCAAAAAAGTGTTGTTTTAGCTTTGAGCTACCTCTTTGAGTTCCTTATCAGAAACCCTAGCCACAAAATCACACTCATGCACTAAACACCTAAACCGTTGCATATTAGGGTAGCATTGTCATTGTGATTTGTTTTAAGTTTATGGTCAAGTCTTTCAAGTTTTAAACTGACCTTTTTTTGGATTCGCTTTAGTTTCATTTTTCAAGTGTTTGACTGGTGAAACTGACTAGACATTTTAATCCAAATCTGCATATGATTTTCATATCATCATATGCATAGTTTGTGTGTTGGTCTTGGTGCCACAATGTGAAAAGTTCAGAAGGAGTTGCCATCTTGTGAAGACTGGAGACGACATCATTTCGGTGCCACAAGGTGAAGAGCTCAGGAGAAGCTGTCACTTCATGAAGACCAAAATCTGTCTCGTGTAAGGTAAGGTTGCATAAAGGTAAAGCTGCTCTATAGATTAGGTCTAGCAATTAAGCTATGCTGGTACTTTGTAAGAATCTTATTTACATTAGTGAATTGGACTCAGTGGAGAGTCCCCGATTTTTTAACCTAGAGGTGAATTTTTTCGGCCAAAAACTTCTTGCGTTCTTTGTCTCTTAAGTTTGTCCACATATCTTATTTACTTTCATATGTTTCATGCATCTTATGAATTGTTATTTGATGTGTTAGAGATTAAGTTTACACTACATATTATGAGCAATGAACTAAATTGTTGTTGACTATGATAACTTGTAGTGAACTAAGTTTAATTCATAGATTTCTGTTTGATTAACTGACGAATATGTACTTAGTTGACTGGTAAGCTTGACTAGTCAATCCAGCATACTTTAATTCATAATTGCTTTGTCATTGCTATTTGCATACTGGTATGTAAACGTGTTCAAGTTTATGAAGTATTGTTGTGAAACTAATCTGGCATACTCTGATTAGTTGGACATATTGGTCAGTTAGGTTTTGTTCTTGCAACCACACTTTATATCACTGACCAACTTGTAATTAGTTGACTAGCTCATTTGACTAGTCTACTGTGCAAAGTTAATTTTTCTTTGCAGGATATTCCGCCTAGTACCCAATTTCACATCTTTTACACTTAAATTAGTATAACTTGAATTAGGACCACGAATAGAAAAACCCCAAAGTCAAATCTTGAGTTAAGGACAACTGCAGCCCCAAAGTTCGAAGTCCCAAGTTGTGTCCTTGAAATATTTAAAGGTTACATGATATGGTGTTGCCTTCACATGTGGCTCACTAATTAAAAAGTGATCTCAGGTAAGGGTTACATTGAAGCATATGTTACACGTCGAAAACCTCATGAAGTTAAATCCCCCTTATATTGAATGATTCCCCTACTCAGTGCACTAAGGCCTTTATATTAAACCTCACACTATAGTAAAGTTAGGGGCATTATCGATATTGATTAATAATGGTTCATTCAACCATCTTTGAAACTTTAAAGAATTGCTACTTTAATTATTTATGTTTGTGATATGGTGGTTACATGGGGTCATCATGGTCACGAGGTATTAAAATGGTTTTCAATAATACCTTGCAACTAAGTTTGAAATGAAAGAGTTGGGAAGTATTTTCTTGGAATATAAGTTGCTAGATTAAAGTATGCCTTCTTTCTATCTCAAAAAGGAAAAACAAATTGGGTCTCATGACTGAATAATATGCTATGTACGTTGGATTGTATTCTATTGAGTATTGACACTCTCATATAGCAAGTTCCACTTGTATCCAAATCGAGTCTCTGCCAATGCGGAGAGATCCTAGGCTTGTGGAATGATTGTATTTGTCTCATATGCAACACCACAATTTATGGAGTTAATGTAGTGAGTCAGTTTATGCATGCTTTGAATGTGTTGAGGTAGTTGAAATATGGTCCTAGTAAAAGATTGATGTTTTCTAATCATTTATATGGGAACGAACACACGTGATGCAATATCAATTATTGACATAGTTTGTATTGTCATATATCGGAGTTGAAGCTTAAAAAGCCAGTTTGTATGATGATAATAAGGTTATAATTGATAGTGCAATGAATCTGATTTAACATTATTGCAAGCTGAATTGGCCTTTCTTTTTTGAAGACTTGAGAGTAAATGGATGATGTACTTACTAAGATAGCCTCAAGTAGAGTGTTTTACATCTCGCTTGACAGGTTGGATATGCGTGATAATTTTGCACCAAGTTGAAGATGGTTGTTGTTCGTACAAGTTTCCTTCATATTTAAAATTGTACTTATATCCTAAAGTTTGATTAAGATTAAAGTATATATAATTACCTCTCTCAATGTAAGATTGTATATATACCACTACTTTAGAGACATATCATATTAGATCTATTGAGCATTGCCTTTACCATTCTCTTCAGTTCTTTTCATTGTTATGTTAATCTCTTAATAGTCTTTCCCACCCGTTATCATCAATTAAATAGAAACAATAGCAAAAATAGAATTTAGAGAGAGAGAGAGAGAGAGAGGGAGAGAGAGAGAGAGGAGACAAACAAATTTACTCGAACCCAAAGCTATGGAGATCAGTCTCATAAAGCCGGACTAGAAGGGTGCAGTGGTGGAGGGATCTTTTGGGTTTTAGAGGGATATGGAGAGAGTGGGACAGACGGAGAAAAAGAGAGATGAAGATGCTTCTAAACTAAGTAAAAAATAAAATTAATAATAAAATGATATTGTTTTTTATTATTTATTCATTTATCTAGAAAAAAAATTAATACCAATTGATCGGGCAATTTATTTAACAGGATGCACTTGGACAATTACTATTGACTAAGCTAGTAATTGTCTATTGCCCAATTGTTTAGGCAATTATTATCCGAAGGAGTAGAACTGCTCTTATGTGTAGTGTTTAAAATTTCTTCGACATGGTTGATATTTGTATGGAAATATCCAAAAAACTAAATAAAGATATGAAACTAAGGGTGAGGTCTAAACTTCACCTCATATCAGAGAAACAAGTTCAGGATAAAATCAACATAGACACATATTGACACACCCCGACCTAGATCGAGGCATGCTAGCCGTCACGTGGGAGTGACGTAACAATGTGCACAGTGCAGAAGCAATAAAGATATAAGGGGAAAATGCAAAGGAATAAAAACCAAATTACTAGCAGAACTAGCTAAGATAAAGTGCTAATGCGAGATTAAATGTGAAATACACAACCAAAACATAAATATCTTAGATGCAGTCAAGCAGGACAAGTACTAATTATACAACACCCAAAGGGGTGATCCTACATTTATGATGTTTTGTCAGAACCCCCGTCGAAATCCTCATCATCCACCAAAGCACTTCTACCTAAAACATGGAGGGGCACAAAACAGAAAGTGTGAGTGGGCAAAAACAAAGCTTTTCAAAATCATTTCATTTCTCAAAAGTTCTAACCACTCGCCGTAAAACCTGTATAATTTTCCCAGAAATATAATATATGCTATATCAGAAATCATGCTTAGGATGAAAATCCATAGAAATATATCATGCCAAAGTATCACAATGAAATGCCAAAGTAATCCAGTAAAAATATAACAATGCCAGACATCATATCAGCCAGATCCACCTGAC